GAAGTTGTCTGATGCAACTGAAAAGCGTTTCACTGATGTCATCAATATCATTCAAGAGCTGCTGGAGGCTTGTGTGAATGCAGAGCACTTCTATGGGGAAGAGATGGAAGCCATTAAGAAGAAGCTGGAAGAGAGTAAACTGAGGGAGCAGTCAGCTCAAGAGACCAAGAAAAGGACTGAGAAGGCAGTGAGTGCCATGGAGAAGGAACTGGATCAGGCTCACGAGAGCTACAAGAAAGCTCTGGATTCTCTCCCTAGTGGATGGGAAATGATTGGCATGGATGTGGTTGGTGGGATAACAGAGAGCATCACAGGCCTGATTAATGGACTGACATCTGTTATTGCTCACCCAGTGAGAAACGTGTGTTCTGCAACAACAAAGATAGCTGATACTTGGAGCCACATTAGAGATCAGGAAAGTGTAAGAGACGTGATTGCTGAAATAAATGCATATAGTAAATCTGCTGAAATTTTAAAATGTGTCCTGAATATCCAGCAGCTGATGAATGTGGAAAGTGAGGATGATGACATTAACTGGAAAAAACTATACGATCAGAAGAAAAAATGTACAGAAAGTGATTTCATAAATATACAGTTCAAAAGAATCACTGATGATTTAAAGAAAATCTCTGGCTGCCCAGCAAAAAAACAAGCTCAGAAGTTGTGCAAAAAGGGCATGGAAATATGCAGCCAGCTGGAAAAATATGCACCAGATGGCAAATGTGACAAAGACAAAAGCACTGAAATAATACAAGAGGTCTTGGATCTGATCGAGTCAGCTCAAATTTTTGATTGCAAAAGCAAAGACATCACAAATTCTCCAGCCATTTCTCCAATACCTCCAATGATGTATAAAGAAGGAAACAAGTCAGAGAACAGGAGTCCTTCTCAGAAGGCCGCGGAGAATGCAAGATTCTCCATAGAGCAGAACCGAGCTCAGCTGAACAAGACAAGAGAGACTTATGAGAAGTGTGTGGAGAACCTAGAGAAGAACCACAAGGAACTAACTGAAATCCTGGTCACTATGAGAAATTGTGAACTGAAAGAGATCGACTTCAATACTACCATACAGATGCTGGTCAAAGGAATGGATGCCATGGGGAGA